TTGGGGAGGGGGGGGGGGGGGCAGGTTGACGCTCGTTTAAAGCGCCGCGATTGGAGCGCCATCTTAACTCTTTGCACTCGAGTGGCGACTCAGAGGCACCGCTGAAATTTGTTACATCACGTTTTAAGATAATTTTTATATGAACGAAGTTTAGATTTGAAAAATTGTTAATTTTTATCATATAAAAAATTAATTGTTAATTTTATCATATAAAAAATTAATTGTTAATTTTTATCATGTAAAAAATTAATTGTTAATTTTATCATATAAAATAATATAATATAATACAATAATAGATATAGATAGATATAATATAATACAAATAATTTTATATTTACAGTTAAAATAGCTTCGAGTGCAAAGGGTTGACGCTTAGCCAACCGAACGGGGAGATTTCCTCATTTTAAATTCAGTCGACTAACGACCGAACGGGGAAATCTTGCACATCTAATTTCTAAAAATTAAAAATGATTGCTTCATTTTATTAATATTTGCAAGAGGCACGAATGGCTGAAGAAATAATTGACGCCATATAAGTTTGCTTCGTAATTTTTGTTTAATTGAATAAAATATTTTAATTGAAGGATGAAATTTTTGAGGTTTCTGGCGCGGTCGTGGAGGTGTTAATAACTGTTTTTTGTCACTCGAGATATGTTATTTGATTGTGTTTATTGCAGCGTAATTGTGATCCGGTTATTCAAGTGCGTAAATGAAACAATTCTATTAGAAATATAATTGACACAGGGAACGAAATAAATGAAAATTAGTCGCTTTCTAAAATGTTTCTTCTGACGCTTTCTATTGTACAAACTTATTATCAGTTCGTTTAATCGACGTGTTATTTGCGCTTCGTTTTATCGTTGCTATCGTTGACTTTGATTTTTTTTTTCATCGATGCCATTTCTTGTTGCACGTTTAGCCGATGGACTTTCGATAAATGTTGTAAACATTTGCGGTTTATTCGGCGCTCTTTGTTCCTTTGTACGTTTCTTTTTAGCTCATTCTGTCGCTCCATTGTCTGTGATACAATCAACATGAGAAGAAGAAAGAGAAAAAGTATCTTTTTCCAGAGAAAAAGTATCAACCTGCCCCAGAGGAAGTCGTTATATAAAAAAAGGACCATAATCAATATAAGCAAAAAGGAAGAAAAATTTGAAGCGAATCATTAAATGTTGCTTAAAATGATTTCGATTGCCAATCACCATTAGAAATGACGGAAATGGTTTTTGGTTAGAATTAGCCGTTATATTAACGAGAACAGTTTTTGGTGATGAATAATTGTTACGGATTATTTATTGGAAGAACACTGATCAATGAGGAGCTTGGCTAACGCGAGGTGGTTTCGCAGGAGGCACAGTGCAGGGTGTCCCAAAATTATTGCACGAGCGGGAAATTAGGTGTTCCCGAGGTGATTTGAAGCAACTGTTTCCTTTACAAAAATTTTCTCTGCGGCTTCGTTTACGAGTTATCAACGAAAAACGTGGACCAATTGGAGAGCGAGCGCGGCCGGCGCGAGGCGGCCGAGTCTACGAGCCCAGTTCCGCTGATTGGCTCTGTCGCGGCGCGCCGCCTCGCGCCAGCCGAGCTCGCCCCGCATTGGCCACCACTTTTCCGTTAATAACTCGTGAACGATGCCTCGGAGAAGATTTTCGTAAAGGAAAGAGTTGCTCGAAATCACCTCGCGGACCCCTCATTTCCCGGAAGTACCATAATTACGGGAGACCCTGCATAAGATCTCCAGAGACCGATTATTTAGGAAGGAAACAATGAACCAACGACGCTGGAACTTCTGTCGTTCGTCGAGCTATAAATACAAGGACAACTTATCCCAGTCTCCCCTAAATGTTTCAGAGGATCTCCGATGATTCGCGGGGACTTGATCGGTTCCCGATGAATCAGACTCGAAGGTATCGAGGCCTGCTGATTCGAGGATAGCGAAAAAGAAAGAGGAAATAGTATGCTTTGCTGATGCTTTTGTGGGGCGAGAGAGAGAGCGAGAGCGAGAGAGAGATTGAGAGAGCTTCTTGTTCGTGATTAGCGCGACTGCGGCGGAGCATCCTATTTAAACTCGCCTTTCTTCCTCAAATTACAGGTTTCCACGTGTGCTGCGAGTGCAAGAAAACGTACAGGTCGAGAATGGCGCTGAACCGGCACGTGCGGGAGGAGTGCGGCAGGATCTTGTACACGTGCCCCTTCTGCTACAGTGTGATGCCGATGAAGTTCAACCTGCTGAACCATTTGAAGAAGGAGCACGGCTGCGCGACGAAGATCTAAACGGACTGCCGGATGCCCGATGCTCGCCGAACGATCTGATCTGGCTCTCGTTTAAACGAGACGCGAGCTCGCGTCGAAATGCGAGCCTGCAAGCTGTTTCTCGATTGTAAAGCCACGTGGGCCGGCGCGTTGCCGACCGAACGACCGACGACCGAGCTTGAGATTCCGCGAAGAATTCTGCGTCGACAGCGTTGAAACTGCTCCCTGTTGACATCACAATTATGCAACACCCTGCACATAAACACGGATAATTCAGACCCGTGAAAGTGTTCCGAAAACACGATCTGCAAAAGGATTGATTTCGAACGGAAAAAAAAGCGAATACAATCCGCGAAAAGATTAATTTGTGGCGCAAAGGACCTGCAAGTAGAAACGTCACGCAATGGTCAGACGCGGCGTGTTCCAACTCGACTTTTCTCGCAAACGGAGGGAGTCTCGTTCAAGGAAATTTCTGCGTCGGCATTTCCGACGCATCTTTCGACGAAAAAGCGGTCGTTCGTCGGTCGGCAAAGCCGGTTCGCCTCCGGCAGCCTCGTCTCCCCTCGAGAAGAACGAACCGTCGTCGACGGTTCTCTTCGTTCGTGCGAATGACCGGTGTGTACATAACCTTCACAGAGACGATATATAGATCAGACTTTATTTTTCCAATGGAAGCACGGCCGGTGCCGCCGCGTGCCTCGGGGCCCCTCCCCCCTCCAGGGCCCCTCCCCCCGTTAATCGTCGAGCCGAATGTACCGCGGCCACGGGTTGTTCCGCGAGCTGTCAGCTTGAAATAAAGTGAAAACGACGAGTATGTTACGTTAATATCGACCAGTGTGTGTGTGTGTTCTCCTCTCGTTTCCGACCAGTGTTCGTCCCGGCGAGCGAAATTAACGCGCATCAACTATAACAACGATCGCATGAGAGCCGGGCGTTGAACTAATCGCAATCCTAAATCACTATCTCTATGTGTTCCCGGCGCAGCGACGAAATAGAATGGCTTTGGTTCGTCGTTGCGTTCTACTAATTTGGCCATCGTGTCTCACGTCCGACCGTAACATAAACTCGTTCATGGGAGCGCGCGCAAGCCTTAACAAATGTCTCCAAATATAGAAAAAGAAGAAATGAAAAAGTGATCCGAGTTCGGCGAACTCGGTCGCGGATCATTCTGTTATCCTCCGTGAAAGCGGCCAGTGACTAACCCGAGTTTCCGTCATTGCTCGACGACAGATCGGGAAACGTTCGTTTCCCTTTCCACGGGGCGCCTAACATTTCCAACCGATCCGGAATATACAGACTGTCCCAGAAATACGTCTCGCAATACGGAAATGAGGGGTTCCTGAAGTCATTCGAAGCAACTTTTTCCTTTGCGAAAATTTCATCCGCCGCTTCGTTTACGAGTTATCGACGAAAAACGCTAACCAATGACAGATCGCGCACGGCTGACGCTCCGCCCTCGCGGCCACCGCCGCTGCGTCGTACGACCGACGCGACGCGCGAGGGCGGAGCGCCCGCCGTGCTTGCTCTCCGATTGGTCCACGTTTATCGTTGATAACTCGTAAACGAAGCCTCGTAGGACATTTTCGCTGAGGAAAAAGTTGCTCCAAATGACCTCAGGAACCACGGACTAAATGACTTCAGGAAGCTACCATTTCCAGACTGCGAGACACTTTTGGAACACCCTGTATAATCTCGTCATCCGATCCGAACAACGGTTTAACGATCTCCCGTTAAACGTTCTGTTTTTTGTCGAGCTGTGCCCGCTAACCGCAGAAGTACAGCGATGTCTCCCTAATTCGCGCTCAGATTGCGCACGAGAATGGACAATTCGGGGGGAGGAGACACGATTATTCGAGCCTCGCGGTTTATTTTTATAGTTATAAATTGTCCAGAATTATAAAAACGAGGCCTCGAGGCTCGAACAATCGTATCTCCTCCTCCCAAATCGTCCATTTTAGTGCGCAATCTGTGCATCAAATTTAGCGGACAATCCGAGCGTCAGTAAGGGAGACATTACTGTAAGCCTCCCCTGTACACACGATTGTCCGATTGTTCTATCATGCTATAAGGTCCCCGAGGTGGTATCAGTGAAAATGAACGAACGTGTACCGCCAATTAACCGATCCCTGTCGTTTCTTTCTTTTCCAGGTTGTCTGACCGGAAGTCAGTGGCACACGTGCAAGGCCTGCGGGAACGTGTACATGTATTACAGCTCGTTGACCAGACACATACGCGAGGAGTGCGGCCAGCCGCCGAAATATCTCTGCCCGTACTGTCCGAAGAGAACGAAGTTACGGTGCAACTTGTTGAAACATATGCGAAAAAAGCACGGCTGAGTCCCCGAGGGCCCGATTGATCAGCGACAGCCGGGATGAAAAGACGCGAGAGCCAGCCAAGCCCGATATTCTCTGTCGTCGAAAGCGGGGCCCTCGCCAGCGAGTATTCGATAAACGAACGAACAAGCAAACAAAATCGCTATCACGTCGACGACATCCGTCGGGAATTATTACTGTCGCGGACTACCGTCAGAGAGAGAGAGAGAGAGAGAGAGAGGGTTGGTTCTCTTTAGCGGAGACACGAAAGCCCCCCGAAAATTTCCCATCCAAAGAGACTTCTCTGTAAAATAGTGTACATTTCTTTCTAAAAGCATGCCCTTGGTCTTTGTAAATAAAACCACTAAGAAGCTACTGATCTGTCCTGAATGATCGGTCTAATACATGGAGATGGTCGGCTACAGCCTCTGCGCGGCGGTTGCTTTCCGAGGAAATAATGATATCGGATAATAGTGGAGAACGATTCCGGGCAACGATTCCTGTAGCGATTCCCATTTGCGCCGGTTCGGACGGATCGTGTTCGAGCTGGGGAAACCGCCGATCCACGGAGCTTGTTCCGCCGCGGAGTTCTCTCTCGCGAATAACAGAGTGGTCTGGAAATATTTGCGAGTCCTTCGGAGCGGCCGATCGCCGAGGCGATTTCGAGTTGATTTTTCTTTCTTCGCCGGAAATCGCTCTGCGCGGCTTCGTTTACGAGTTAGCGGTGGAAATACGCGGATTTTATATAATATGAAATATAATATTATAATGTTTTGTAATATGTAATATTAATATAAAATATAATATTGTAATATTATGTAATATAACATTGATATAAAATATAATATTATAATATTATGTAATATATAACATTGATATAAAATATAATATTATAATATTATGCAGTATATAATATTAATATAAAATGTAATATTGTAATATTATGCAATATATAATATTGATATAAAATATAATATTATAATATTATGCAATATATAATATTGATATAAAATATAATGTTATAATATTATGCAATATATAATATTGATATAACATATAATATTATAATATTACATAATACATAATATTAATATAAAATATAATATTATATAATGCAATATTAACATAAATATATTAACGAAGCCGCATGCAGTATTTCCTCTAAGAAAAGCGTCGGAAATGAAATCTCGTCGGAAATCATCGGCTTCGAGGATTTTCAACATTTTCCGGACACCCTGTGCATAAAATCGGAACGGGTGTTTAGCGTTGTCGTTGTTTAGCGTTGAATCAAAGTGTCTCGGTGCAACGTAGTGTAATTTCGGCAAGACAGTTGACGAATGCTACAACTTTCTCCTATTAAACCTAAATTGTTTCTGTTACTTTCCATTCGATTTACTCTCTCATTCTCGTCAAAAACGCCTGAAATCCGCCATTCGAGCAAATATAAGCATTTCTTTCTGACCGGATCGATTTTTGCAAAACTTAAGGGTTAAATTCATAAAATTACATTGAAACATTATACTAACAATTTTCAATGACGCTTTAGAGTCGCCAATCGAGCGCGAAGGGTTAAAAGTCACTCGAAAGGTTAAATTGTCAGCGACATTGCCACGAAAGTAAAAAATGACGTAGTTTCTCCCACAACTTGCAATTAGACATCCCTATTACTATTAATAATTATCAAGTAATTATCAAGGTATTATATCGTCAGTACAGAGACTCGCCTTAAAAACGCAGCTTCGAAATCCAGAATCTCTAACGTAGAAAAACGGTTTCAACAAATTCACGAGGCTCGCATGGAAATCGTAAAAAAAAGAAAGAATCGCGACTCGATTACCGGACCGCGGAAACTAAACAAATTGATAACAACACGCGTCCCGGAATGTCCCGTTTGATCCACGAACACGTTTCACGCCCGTTCCGTTCCGCCCCGAACGTTCTGTCTTCTCGAGCACCCACGACGGCACCCGAAACATACACGTAAAAAAATAAGCGGAGTTGTTGGTTTAGCGATAAGGTAAAGGTTGAGCACAGTGCACCGGACAATAGAGAGAAAGAGAGAGACTGACAGATAGATAGATAGATAGTTAAATAGCTGGAGAGCGAGCGAGAGTGCGAGAGAGAGAGAGAGAGAGAGAGAGAGAGAGAGAGAGACCCGCTGGCCAGCAGCCCGATCCAATCGCTGACGAGACGAATGCATTTCTTTTTCAGAATTTAACACCTGTTTGGCCTGCTCGAAGACGTACAAATGGCGGAAGTCCTTGCACCGGCATGTCAGGGAGAGCCCGGAATGTTGGCCGATCCTGCTCTCGTCCGGCAACGACGAGTACATCCGACAGATTCACTACAAAATGCTCTACAACGTGAACAATTGATCCAGGCGACGTGTCTTGTTATTTAGACTATCTTTTTATAGAAATAAATGTCATTCTATTCTGATACAAGAGACTAATGTGTATTCGACGACGAAGAAAGAGAGAGAGAGCTTGAGAGAGAGTTCGAGAGAGAAAGAGAGTTTGAGAGAGAGAGAGAGAGAGAGAGAGAGAGAGATTCTAAATCTATAACACGTCGAATCCCTTTTTCAGGCTGCGCCCGGCAATGTAATCCGCTTTGACCCGAACCGGGTGCAAGCTGGCTCGCTCTTTTCGAGCCCCGTCGCGTGAGTATGCCGTTGTCCGAAGCCGCGATCGACCGATCGATCGCGGCCTCAAGCCGTCTCTAATCACACATATTCTTCTCTCGATACCGCAAGCATAACGTTTGACAAAATTGTTATCACCGCCGCTGTGCCTCGAGCATTATTATTTCGTTTCCTTCTCCCCCCCCCCCCCCCCCCCCCCCCCCCC